TCTCTCTCTCTCTCTCTCTCTCTCTCTCTCTCTCTCTCTCTCTCTCACACACACACACACACACACACACACACACACTTACTTTAAAGATTCACTTGTGTGTGTGTGTCTATGTGTGTATCCCACATGTGGTAAGAGTGGTGCTGGCGGGCGCTGAAGAGATCAGAAGAAGTTGTCAGATCCCATGGAGTGAGATTTGCAGGTGGTTATAAGCGACCCAACATGGAGAGCTGTGGGAGAGCAGCAAATAATGCTAACCGCTGAGCCGTCTCTCCAGACCCTCGACCCCCTTTCAAGAGGGCACATGAAGTCTCAGAGCTGCTTGAAAAGGCAGGTACCTGCAGCACAGCTGGAAGATGGTTTCCGGCCGTCCTTCCACTTCTGACTTGGTGTGAATCAGCTCCCATAGGGAGTTGTTTTCAGTCCCTGGGTAAAGGCAACGGAAACCAGAGTCCACAACTTTGCCAAAATGCTGTGGTTGAGAATACCTGGGATACCCACGGTGTAAACACCCCTCAGTTCTGTCTCTTTTCTTCCACAGCTCATTCTTAGGTATTAACCAAGAGCTACAGAAAGTTGAGATGGAATTCTCCACCCCTCTTTGGTGGTTGGTAGTTTTAGGCTTTGTTTTGCTTTTTTGCTGTGCGTGTGGCAGGATCTCACTGTGTCGGCCTTGAGTTTGTGGTAAGCGTCTTGCCCCAGCCAGCTACCCAGTTCCAATTCCTTCCCCCTCTTGAGATGTTAGCCCTATCCTTGGAACAGACAGGAGGATTTGCTCAGGAACTCGGGGTGACAGAGCCCCCTCCCTCCCGTTAGAAATATAAGCCCCTCTGACAAAACCCCTAAGCCCATTGGCCCTTTGTTCCCAGAGGCTCGTGCTACCAGTTATTGAAGAATTAGTTACTCTAAGAAGGTCCTTGGAACATTGTTCAGGGTAAAGTGTGTTGGTTTTTTCTTTATTTGCGGTACTCTTAAGGAACTTTCTACTATGTTTAAGTTCGTATTTTTTGGATCTTTGTCTAACTTTAGGGTATCACAGCATACAGCAAAAAGGGAAATGTTGACAGTTGTTGACTGCAGGGATGAAGAAAAATGCAGAGGCATTGGGCAGAAAAAGGCCATCCGATGCCACTTGTTTTCTTCCAAAAGACTGTAAAGAAATGTCTCAACAACCTTGTTCTCATTATTTTTTCCTAGAAAGTTAAATACATGTAAAAATTATTCTCGGGCACAGTGGCTTGGGAATGTCCCCAAAGGCCCATGCACTTTAAGACTCAGTTAACCTGTGGCCCTGCTGGGGGAAGGGGTGGAGCCTGTTAAGAGTGGGACCTAGGCAGAAGGTGTGCTCTCAGTTCCTAATGCCCTCACCCCTCCCTGGGACTCGGCTCCCTGACCACCACTAAGTGAACAGATGTCTGCCATCCATGCTCTGTGTACATGCACTGTGCTGCCACACTACCACGGACTGACACCCATACACGTCTCCTGCGTTTTCATGCCATGTGAATGAAACACACAAAAACGTCTCTTGTTGCGTTCCCCCAAGTGTTTACCTGCTGTGTTCCCCAGTCTCACTTGAAGCGCAGATATGGGGATCAACCATCGAAACTTAAAGGGGTCCAAGTCAGCAGAGTTGTGGGCAGGCCGGGAATTTGAGGGCTGTAATATGAGAGAGCACCAGGAAGGTGTTAAAGTCGCATGTGCAGTGAACAGAGGGACTTGACCTGTATGCAGGACTCTTGTGGGTGTCTAAGATGCATGTAAACCAAGTGAACCCAGCTCTCAAAGACCTCCCAGGACCGGGACTGGGCCACAGTGAGTTCCTGGGACACAAAGATGGCAGCCACGTCTTCCTGCAGTCTCCAGTTCCTGCCGGTGGCTTATGGTGTCTGTGGCTAGGCTTGGATGGAGTGCTTTGGAGTTTTTCTGCGGGTCTTAGCTTTTTGTCTGTTTTTTGAATCAAGGTAAAAATTACTTTAAAGGCAAAGCTTTACAGACCCCTGTCTCTATGGAACCACATGTACTGTTTTCAGGGAATAAAAGTTTTCTGTTTTGGCCTCTGCTTAGGTATGTCTTAATCTTTTAAAACACATGGGCAGCTATTCCACTTCTGCATATGTGCAGAGAATTCCATAGCCTGCCTTCGAAATGTTTGTACTCCCATGTTTATTGCTGTTTTATTCACTATAGCAAAGAACTGGAAGCAACCTAGTTGTCCATCAAAAGATAAATGGGCAATGAAAATTGGTCTGTGTGTGTGGATACAACTCAGCTCTCAAGAAAAGTATTGTTAATTTACAATGAATATGGGTGGAATTAGAATGTGAATTTTAATGAGGTCACTGGATCTCATAAAAAAAAAAAACCTGCATGTTCTTGTTCATATATACAAATTCTAGCCAGTAGTGTGTGTGTGTGTGTAGTACATTAGGATATAATATGAGGAAAAGAGAACAGGAAAGGCTAAATATGAGGGGATGAGGAAGGAGTAGATGCAGGTAATAGATCCAAGTTATAAAGAGGATATAAAGCTAACTGTTTTCCTTGTCCTAATTTTGTCATGAATTTTGCCATATTTTGGTTTGGGGGCAGATACGTACATAAAGTACAGTGAGAACTGAATGTGTCAAGTTTATGAAGCGCCATAGAGTCCATTCCTAATGCCTATTCTTAACTGTACAAACTAGAATAGACATAGAGGTCTGTAGACGCTGGGAATTTGGGGGCATGATGTTTTTATTATAAAAACCAGAAAATAAATAAAGTTTATGAAATTTTAGGAAAGCAGACAGATGGGTTAATACTGTTGGATGGTGAGGCCATGATTCTTAGAGAGCTTTCCAGTACAAGGTAGGAGAAAGCCATGAAAAGACAGCTCTAATTAAAAGTCCTTTTTCTTACCGGTTTCTTTTTCAGTTTGCAGTTTTCTTTATAAACCAATATGACAGCTCTCTTAAAAACTGAAAGTAAAAGAGAAAGAAAGGTCTTGATGTTTTCTGCAAACTCTAAGGTTAACCCCGAGCTGGGCCCGTCATGAAAACAAAGCGCTTCAAACCCAGGACTGGAATCCCGCTGCATTAACACATGCTCCTCTGCCCTGTTTCGTGTGAACCATGCAGAAGTGCCTGCTTAGGAAAGCAGGTCCTGCGTCTGTTTCGCCATTGTTTGATTAACAGCTGAGGCCATGGCATCCAGGTCTCAGTGAGAACACACTGTAACTTGCTCTCCCAATTCTGGGTGAGAAGGAGGCGGTTTTGAAATGTAGCACTGTTCAGGCAGCAGGTTTTCAAGCAGCCTCATGAGGTGCTTCCCCCTAGCAGGCTGTGTTGGGTCCCAGCCACTGCAGCCTTTTCCCAGCTCCCCAAAACCAGGAGTCAGCAAGAGTGGCAATGTTAGTCAAGCTTTTTGTTACGGCTAACGCTTCTGAACCGGAGTACCAACCAAATACTGTGAGTTCAATGTCCTTCCTGACTTTTCCTAAAGAGAGGAACGGATTCAGCCAGGAAACCGTGGAATGCATCAGAAGTTCCCCCATGGACAGCTCTGTCACCTACATTGTGGAGACAGGAAACAGAGATGTGAAAAGTCTCGGGGGTGAGCTGTTTCATGTTAGACACAGAATTGCATCCACGTGGTCATTGCTAAAATGTCCACAGGAACCGCTTTGTCTGTATGGTCCCCGTCAGCGCGGCATGAAGTGGCGGAAGTCCTAGAAATATGAGCCACGCATCAGGCTGCACCCTCTTAGTAATAGGTCTGGGCCCTCCTGCCTGCTGGCCTAGCCCCTTACCACCGAGCTACCTCCCTGGCCCTCTTTATTTTTTGTTCTGAAACCAGGTCTCTCCAAATGGCCTAGGCTGACCTTGAACTTACCCTGTAACCCAGACAGGCTTTAATTGTGCCTAGGCCTGGTAAATAATAAGAGGTGCTGGTGTGTAGCTGTAAAGTATTTATTTAGGTTTTTTTGAGACAAGAGTTTCTCTGTGTAGCCCAGGCTGGCCTCGAGCTCACAGAGATCTGCCTGGCTCTGCCTCCCGAGTGCTGGGATTAAAGGTGTGCGCCACCACCGCCCTGTTTAGATCTAGTGCACACTTACATAGGTGACAATTCTGCCGCAGTGGCCGTGGTCATCTAAGGCAGTAGGTCTCAATCTGTGGGTCACGACCCCTTTGGGGGTCAAATGACCCATTTACGGGGGCCACATATCAGATATTTATATTACAATTTATAAAAGTAACAATCACCACGACGTGGGGCACTGTACTAGGAAAGTTGAGAACCACTGAATTTTAAGGGCTTTGTGTGAGTGTTTACTTCAGGTCACTAAACTACATCAGGTTGCTAAAGATAAAATAGTAACATTGAAATCGACCTATGTAAATAAAAAAAAGCTGTGCCCCTTTTCAGTCCCTGTCACTTTCTGCTCACACTGCTGTTTCTTACACGTGCTCTCCGAGCTCAGTGTTCTAAGGTTAGCAATCAGACAAAAATGAAAAATACACAGAATGTCAGCAATCACTGGGACTATAAGCAGGTGATCACTTGTATCTGATGCTGACGCAGAAAGGTAACGGGAAGGGAACAAGCCCTATATTTTATCCCATGCTGGGCCCCTTCCTCGTTCTTCCAGCCCAGCCTTCCCCGTGCTCTACTTTCTGGAACTGACTTCACCCTCATAGGAAAGAAAGGAGGTGGAGAGACACCATCTCAGCGATACTTCCATAGCCTCTGTGCAATGCTAACATGGCACAGTTATGTTTTAGACCAGTTTAATACCTTTCCAAACCATTTCTATATAAACTATGTAATTATTTTATATATTAATATCAAAAAAAGGCTTTGTTCCCCCCAGGAAAGTCTAACCAAGTAGCTGCTCTGGACGGTCCCTAAGCTCATGCACCCCAGCATGAGACCCCCACAGACCTCCTTCTCCGTGCCGCTCTGCTCTGCCACGAGCTGGTCAAACACTGTCCCGTAATCCTCATAGATCTTCTGCATCTCGTTGATGTGGCTGGCTACTTTCTCCATGGCCTTTAGTGCTTCTGAAAGATAGGAAGGTGTGCCTGCTCATTTTAAATCCCACCAAATCCCATCCTGGGAGTCCAGCTCTCAACTAATAGCATGATGGAGGTACAGCTCACAACAGCCTATTTAAATCTAGATGTCACAGTCAAGGGCAGTCAGCCCATCATCCACCTCAAATTCTCTCCGAAATGAGGAGACTCTGAGAAGTGCCATTAATAAAGCTAACCTTAGTCCAGCCAGATACCCTGACAGTGCTTTTTGTGCCCCAAAGAACACTGACTGCAACCAATATCCTACTACAGTAACAGGTGCAGCTTCATCAGAGTTCTGGAGAAAACTGGGTAGTGGAACCAGAAGTCAACCCAACACTGTCCAGCCTCGGGGGAGCTGCTCTTGAAGTCAGTATCTCTAGAACTAGCTGACACATTAGGAGTCCAGCAGAATTGTTCATTTACAGCAGCGTGAGAGGGCAGGTGGAGCTCAGTGCTGACACATGCCTCACTCACTGGCTCCCCAGTTCAAGAAAACAAAACAAAAACCACCTACCGATGTCAACCACAAGTTCAGGTGTTTGTGGTTATGCATGCCATTTGTTTGTAACTTGGGCAAGGGTAGATGAGGGACAAATGATTTTGGCAAAATCTCGGTGCGTTCTATACTTTGTTCTCAGATTCAGCAGAGCGCAGAGCTCTCCACAAGGTGGCACCCCATCCCACGAGCATGAGCCGTGGCTTCAGCACAGCCAAGGGCATGGAAAAGTACAGGAGAGGCCCGATGGGGCGTTCTTTCAACACTGTTCACCAGCCAAGTGACTTCAACTTACTAGGCCTCAATGACACTGTTTTAAAATTTTAAATCAAGTTACCCTTCTTGATCAACTCCAGAAGAACAATCTCATTGTGAGATCGCCTTTAAGCCAGGCGTAGCGATGCACACCTTCGGTCCCAGCACTCAGGAGGCGTATGTCTGTGAGTTTCAGGCCAGCCAGAGCTACACAATGAGATCCTGTCTCTAATTTTAAAATCCCCAAAGCATGGTGAGCATCCCTCTAAAGGATGGAGCTGTTTTCCTACATGGACTCTGTAACTAAGATGGGCAGTCACAGAGCTGAGGAGTCACAGGGAAGAGCTGTCGGCCCCGGGCAAGCCCCCTTGGCCAGCTGGTGAGTACAAGCAGCCTCCTTCCAGCCTTACCTGTCAGGTGATAGTGTTCCTCACTCTCATGGTCCGTCAGGGACACGAGCTCCTTGAGGAGCAGGGGGTACTTGAGCACTCTCTGAACAGGCTTGATGAGGTAAGACTCCAGCGTAGAGGAATGCTGCTTGGTGGGATTCCGGGCATCCAGAAAAGCCTTGAAGGCCTTATCGGTTTTAGCTGCAAGCAATTGACAAAAGATCCTTAGGAGAGCACAGTGGAATGAACTAAACTATTATGTCATCGTCCAGCACAGTTTTACATTATTTCTTCAGTCCTTACATCGTTCAGTAATAAAAACCCAAGTGCATTCACGGGTCGAGTACCCGGTTATTAGCAGGTGTCTCTGTCACATCTCTCACAAGGCCTGCAAGTGAAGGAAGGTTGCGAGGATGGTAGAGGATGCAGTCCTCACTCTAGAGAGGGCTGTGGAGTCACAATACACCTATGCACACCCATCACAGACTGTTCTGGGTGGTGTGGCGTGGCCTAAAGATGAGCTTCCAACGATTCATTGCCAAGATCCACCTGGAAAAGCATCTCCTCTCCTGCCCTAGCACTGGCTGGTCTTATTCTCCACACTCTTGAAAAGTAGTATCTCTCTACCTCAGAAGCCAACCTGCCTTCACCCCACAGCTCCAAGCAGACTAGACCTGACACCAGAGTTGCATTGTGTTCCTCCAGGGTGTGGAACCCTTAGCAAGAACTGCCTCCGTGCAGTGTCCATGTTTTAAAGGTCACACACAGAAATACGGGTGCATATGACAGGGCGGTGGACAGGCCAGCCCTCACACTGGGCTCCACTGGTTGCCATTGACAGACAAGCCGTTTGGGGTCCAACCAGTTTGCAGAAGTGCCTTTATTTAGGTTATATCTCAAGGGGAAAATCTGTAGCACTTAGGAGAGGTCATTGATCACCAGACTATGCAGGTGGTGAGATTACCTCTCATCTCTTGCTGTAGCCTCACCCCCTCCATGACAGGAGAGGAGGCAAAGTTTTTCCCAGTTCCACCAGGGAAACAACCTTAGTTAGATCATCCATTAAAAGGGGGGTTGTGAAAGGACATGCAAATGTGCTCAGTCCTTTTGTTGAAAGTGACCAGAGAAGGTAGGTTTTGGCTAGCTTACTGTCATTTGAAGCACTCCAAGACGCATTTTTTAAACGTGGAATTTCTGGGATACTATAAAGTTCTACATTTAAATCAAATGGGTTTAAATGTCATTGGCGCAAATGTGAAACCCAAATTGTAGGAGAAACCTCTCCACTCCCGCCATGATAGTAGGAGAGTGGGCAGCCTCCGGGAGGCAGTTTTTCTGAGTTCCACCAGGAAAACAGCCACAGTTAGGCACTTCCTTGGAGATGGACGGTGGAGTTTTACTTGGGAGTAGCTTCACATGCCTAAGAATATTGACAGAAGAGTAGAGAAAACCAGCATACATCCTCTCCAGTCATCCAATGCTTGTGGCCATAACGTCTTTACAGACAGGGACAGCAAAGTGACACATGGCAAAGCTTGGGGCCCACCTGTCCACGGCTCCCCTAACAGCAAATACTCTGAAAAGTTTCCCTTTAACTGTTACTGTTTTCAAGGTCAAGAGAGGAGAACAGCCCATTGAAATCACACTTGCTATAGATACAGACCTACCCCTTATTAACAGTTAAAAAAAAAAAAAAAGAACTATAAAGGCAATTAACGACTCACCTCGCTCTAGAACCTTCTGGACTTTAATGTGGTTGGCACAGAATCCACTGTACAGTTTAAAGTGGTCGGCGTAATAGAGGAAGGAGCCTCCAAGGGAAAAGAGCAACTTCTAGAAGGGATGAGAGAAGGTCAAATCAAACACATCTTCCACGTGCTCTGGCTTCAGCAGATCATTTGCTGCCGACAAGTGTGGGCGCTGCTCTGTTCGGTCTGTAGGTGGAGACCAGTCTAGGCATTGCCCTAGCAGACCTTTAGATGGATTGGAAAGGTCCTGGCAGAGCAGTTTCCTGGCAGCAGATTCGCTGTATCTGATGGGTGGGACTACAGTGGTCTGAGAGGATGCAGGGGCTCTCAGAGTCACCTGCTCCATTACTTGGGATGGACTGTGCCTACTGTATGCTCCCAAAACCCCTTTCTCCTGCCTTCTGCCCTCTCGCCCCTGGAAGAACTTCCCATTAGCCATGGTCCTTACTCCTTCACAAGGGACAAACTTCCCTGACGGCCATCTGAAAGCCACACTTTCCAGCCCAGTTTCCCAGGACCACGGAAAAAGGACACCAGTGCTGGGAAGCTGCTCTTGCTTCAGAAGAAGTTGCTGCAGTACCTTTCTTGAAAGTGAGTGAAGGATAGATGTGGTCAGCAATCAGGTGATCTAGACTGCTGACCGCTGAGAGCAGTCACTCCAGGAGAAAACCACAAAGCTGCCTTCCCCCACCCACAGAGAAAGCGGGGCAATGGAATACACAAATGTCATCGACTTAGGGGATAACTTTACACCCTACCTGCTGTGGGATGTTCTGTATGTCCTGTGGGAGCCCTTCTTGGGTTCTTTGTGGCGTTACCCAGCAGGTCCGCATAGAGGATGATTAGGACCATCGGCCTGAGTGCAGGTGTCTGAGATGGTCTGCACTTGGCTGTGCTGGGGGATGGTCTGTATGTCAAGTTGTTCTGATTGATCAATAAATAAAACCTGATCGGCTGTGGCTAGGCAGGAAGGATAGGCGGGACTAACAGAGAGGAGAAATAAAAGGACAGGAAGGCAGAAGGACTGGCTGCAGCCGCCGCCATGACCAGCAGCATGTGAAGACGCCGGTAAGCCACCAGCCACGTGGCAAGGAATAGATTTATGGAAATGGTTAATTTAAGATAAAAGAATAGTTAGCAAGAAGCCTGCCACGGCCATACAGTTTATAAGTGATATAAGCGTCTGAGTGATTATTTTATAAGTGGATTGTGGGACTGCGGGGCTTGGGGAACCTGGAGAGAAGCCCTCCAGCTACACCTACCCACTTGTATTTGCTTTAAATCCAAATCCAAAATACTTACTCGAAACTGGGAGGGGGTTTCCAGGACATTGAAGTCCGAGGAAGCAGAGATTCCGTCCTCCAGAGTCTCCAGGAACACTTTCTGAAACTCCAGCATCTCTGGCAAGCTCCCAAATAGTGACTCCATCTATAGGAAGGGTGAGGTGTGAAAAGGCGTAACCATGACAAGCTAGACTCCCTCACCTTCACCACAGAAGTGAGCCTGAGAAGCAGGTATAAGCAGGTCCTTTACAGAGCACATTCACAGGGGTGTAGTCTATACCTTGAGACAAAGCTCCAGCTCCTGGCTATTCCACAGTTCCAAGATAACATTTTAAGTGGATTGGAATTCACATCAGGGGAAATAGAAATCATTAGAAAGGAGCTAATTCTTGTGATTTATTATTAACAATTCATATATTGGAGAGTAACGTTTGGCTGTATCTCCTGCCAAACAAACAAACAAAAAACTCAAGACCACCCTTCTGCCTTTATCAATGCACTGCTACTTTCTAGGATAGAGGCCACATCAGTGGCTTTAAAGGAAGTCACATACAAGACTTTCTGTAGGGGCTGAAGAAATAGCTCAGAGGTTAGGAGCACTGACTGCTCTTCCAGAGGTCCTGAGTTCAATTCCCAGCAACCACATGGTGGCTCACAGCCATCTGTGATGAGATCTGGCGCCCTCTTCTGGCCTGCAGGCAAACATGCTGTATACATCATGAATAAATAAATCTTTAAAAAAAAGACTTTCTGAAGATCCTCCAGCTTCAGTGTTCCTGGGGACTCACAGTTGTGTCCAGCCTACAATCCATGGGCTAAATGAAGTCACAGGCAGCTATGGATACAGCTCAGCCCAAATCCACTAAATTAATTGAAAGATGATTTCTTTGCATCAGGCATGGTAGCATACAACCTTAATCTTAGCACTAGAGAGGTAGAGGCTGGCAGATCTCTGTAAATTCAAATCCATCCTCGTCTACATAGTGAGTTCCAGGCCAGCCAGGATGCACAGTGAGACCTTGTCTCCAAAAAAATTTTTTTGCAAGTTTTTTGTTATTGTTGTTGTTGTTGTTGTTTGTTTAACTGTGATTCCTGGTTATGAACTTTGTAGGTAAGAGCATCGTTTTGTAATGTTAAAAAAAAGAACACTACCCAGAGAAACCCTGTCTCGAAAAACCAAAAAAAAAAAAAAAAAAAAAAAAAAAAAAAAAAAAAGAACACACCTGGTCTAGGACCTCTGCTAAAAGGCTGAAAAAGAGAACTGGTGTGGGGGTGCAGAAGAAAAGTATTCGCTATTTACCTCATCCTGGGTAAGGAAAGTCTCATTCTGGAGTGGCTCCAAGTAGAGTTCAAAGAGGCAGCTCAGATCCTGAAAGCCAAGAGAAGAGTCTCTTTAACATACATCACCAAAATAACCAGTTGGTTCCAGCAGCCTAGGCAGCAGCAACTCCAAAGACTCCCATTAGGAAAGGTGACATTTGTCTTGCTGAAATTCTTGACCTTCAGAGCGGTTGTCATTGCTCACCTAATACAAAGGTTGGTGCCACCATACTGCCACCTCCTGGCTTTCACATCTCCACTCTACAGTGTTAGCACCCACTCTGAGTAAGGTTAACGTCCTACTGCCAGAGCAGGCTCTGTCTTCCCTGCCGCAGAAGCCATCATTTCTCCGGAGGGGAAGAGAGGGGCCGGCTAGGTACTGCTGCAGTTGTGGCTAGACACCAGGGGCCTGGCTTTCTCTTCGGTGCCAGGGAGCATGGCGACAGCCTCTGGGTGGAGCTGTGAGACAGGACCCGGGCAAGCTCTTCCACTTCAGGCTGAAACCAGCGGAGTTTGCAACCCGTGTCTTCCAGTGCAAGAGTCCAGCGGTGAGCGGCAGGGAGGTTTACAATCCGAGCCACACTTGAGTCTCTCCCGGACGGACGAGTCTCTCAGAGACCACAACAGTAACCCACTAGAGTTTATATTGAAGAACTTGAAGCCAGACACCGTGTATAATTCAGTGACAGCAAAGACTTCTGTGGGGTTTCATTTATTCTGAAGAACTGGGAGTTACACATCTAGCGCTAGTTGACGGAACTGACTCCGTGGCTTTGCAAGGGAGAAGAAGTCTTAGAAACCAGAGAGCCAAGGGAAGCCCAGAGGGGCCCCCAGTGCCTTCCTCGTTGTGAGAGCAAACCCCAGAATGGCAGTACTGCTGGTGCTTCACACTGAAGAGCCCCCCTGGTTTCCCCACCTCCCCTTGGACCACAGCAGTCTGGGGTGTGAGAAGGGCAGGTAGCAGTGAGTCACTGGAGCAGATCTGGGGGACACACAAGTGTGGGAAACTTTTAGGTGCATGCGGAAATTTGGGGTTAGATTCGAGCAAGGAACTTCTGTGTTACATGTCAGCAACAACAACAAAAAAGAAATGAAGGGAGAGGAGGGAACAGGTGTGAATTGTGAGTTCACACTAAGTACTGGTTATTTGTCAGGCCGTCACTCCTGTCCAGGCTAATGCCACTCGCTCAGAGGACTTACAGCGCAGCAAGAGCGGGTCACGCTGAGCTGGGGCTGACAAAAGAGCCTCCATGCCTGCCGCCCTATGAAAACAAACGGCAGGGTTCTTGCGGGGGAAGGAAGAGCTGGTCCTTCCTTGCCTACCTGGTCCCACATCCCTCAGGAGCTAACAAGTAGCACTGAAAACAGCCCTCCGGGCAGAAGGCAACCCAAAAGGAAGATGGGAAACTCTGGTGACAGAGGGGGAGGAGTTCTCTTTTTTCAACTCTGCCCTGGACCCAGCAGGTTCCGTGATGCTGCTCAATATGTCCGATGGCTCTTGAGCCTTAGGATGGCTCTTGAGCCTCAGGAGCATTCCCAGCTCCCAGAGCAAAGGCTGTGGATATGCTGGGTCGCTTAGGAACCCCTGAGCTCCCTGGCAGTCACTCTCTCACACACACACACACACACACACACACACCCGCCGCCGCCACTTCTCTAGTGGTTCTTTCTCTCCCCACAGACCGACTGACCGATACAAGAGGCACTGGAGCTAGCTCTGAATAAGACCTTTGAGAGCGTCCTGGGGAAATGGCAGTGGCACACTTAAAGGAGCAGCTCAGATGTGTCATTATTGTTGTGTTGTGTTCAGAGTCTCATGTAGGCCGGCCTGGCCTCAAACTCGCCATGTAGCCGAAGCTACACTGAGCTCCTGAGCTGCCATCTTCTACTCCCAGAGTGTTGAGATTATAGGCAAGCACCATCACGTCCGCTTCTACAGCATCAAACCCAGGGCTCGGGGCATGCTCGGCAAGGACCGTACCGACTAAGCTACTGTCCCGGCTCCCCGGGTCTGTTTCATAGAGGAAAGGGTAATAGCCCACACGTGTGTGCCAATGTGTAACTCCTGGACTTCACATTCTGAGGATTTCTGGAAAGCCAGTCCCAAGCACAGGGCCCAATGAGGAAGCTGGGGAGGACCCTCCAAGGGCCATGAAGCACAACAAGGCAGACCAGGCCTGGATTCCCAGCCACTGTCCTACGCCATACCCTTCCAGACACTGACAACTGAGGCAAGCTTAAAATAGACCCAAAGCAGGAGCGAATGCTTAAAGCAGAGAATGCTGTCTTTCCAATCTCCTATGCTAATAAACGTTTCCCAAAGCACTAAGTAGGAGCTAGCTGATGAGAGAAAGAAATGAATTCATGTATGAGAACACCCCATGTGATGGCTGAAACACCTGTGCAGGGGCCTACGTTCTGCCCAGGGACCTCGATGGATCGGGCTGACCACCTGGACTCTGAGGACCTATATTCAGGGCCGCTAAGGTAGAGATTGCTCCCCAGCTCCTCATAACCCAAAGTGATCTCTACCCTTTTTGCTAAAGCAGTGTAGACTCCGTTCCCACAGACTGCAAATAATGAACTACAACATCTGTTTCCATAGTAAAAGCTACCTTGGCAACAAAATGAGCCAAGAATCCAATTTGGGAATGGTTTTTTTTTTTTTTTTTAAGTTTTCTCAGTTCTTTCACCTCTCAGCCTGCTCTCCCTTCCCTGCAGCAATTCCACCTCAAGAAGCACATGTCTACCTCCTAAGTGGCAGATGTCTCCGGCAGAGGTGATCTGAAGGCCTTTGCCAGCGTGACCTCACCATCCATCAAAGGGGTGGGAATGCCCAGCACTTCCCGTTACCTTCACGTAAGACTTCTCCGTGTCTACGAGCTCCTGGATAACTTTTCGGAGGCGGTCTGCATCTGAGAGGTGGCGAGCCAGAGGCCTGGAAGGTGGGTCCTGGCTCTCCATCGTCGCTTCCATGCCGTTGGTGTGGGCGCTGGTGAATCCCCTGCAGAGTTCAACAATCTGTTCAGCGCTCTGAAAGGAGGACAAGAAAGGCAAAGTCACACTCGGGACACCGCTGGCTGGCACTGGGTGTGCACCTCACCCGGAACACCGTGCCCCATGTTCCCACCTGCCCCCAGGACACTGTCAACAAGTCTCACAAAGACGCGGGTCCAGGGCACACAGCTTCATTCGCCTCAGACGACTGTCACTATAACCCGTAAGGAAGATGGCATCCTCTGTTTCCTGTCGGTCCACAACGCCCCCTGCTATCATAAGAGCTGTGGATGCTTTAGCACTAAGACCAAAGAGTCAGGAGCGAGGCTAACTCTACTAAAGCTGAGGTTGCTCTAAAAATCCAGACATAGAGCTTTCTGAACAGAACACACAGGAGGCAGACTCACAGACTCCATCCTGTCCTCAACGCCTAGCAAGTGTTCCAACCCCCGTGTTCTGGGAGCCTCAGACATGGCGAGGCACAATGGCAATTTTAGGATGGCTTGGCCCCAGTCTGCCTGTTGAAGTTCTGCCCTCGAATCCAACCATTTAGCCTGAGCCAAGTAGCAGTTATAAATGCTCATGCTCAAGCTGGCTAGGCACACACGAGGATGGATGAGAAGGTGAGACATGAATTGGACGCCTCAGAAAAATGAGCCATTCTGGTCCTCCATCCCTTTCTGTTCTACCTCCTCTGCCTCCCAACAGAGCATCTTCCCTCGACGGAAAATCAGAATCAAGACAAGACCTCAACAACAGCCCCCTGCCTGGCCTCGCTCTCCAGTTCAATGAGTACCGACTGTAATCATGCTCCATCTCCAGAGAAGCAGAGGGTAGCTCCTGCCCAAGGAAAGAAGACTCGCCAAGGTTAGAAACACCAACGTGCAGACTGGGGCAGTCTGGAAACCAGCAAGAGCGTGAGTATTACAAATGGAAAATGCAGACGTGCAGATGGAAAGGTCCATCCTGGAATAGAAAATCGTGGAAAACCAGCCAAGAGGTCAACTGTAATGTGGTCCTAAGAGGTGCATGAGCCAAGAGGGAACCCAGAATGAGCTAACGATGCAGCAGGAACATGGACATAGACATCCAGAGCCTAACTCCAGGGGCAGGTTGCAGTGAGGCTCTGCCAGACACCCGCTGCCTTCATTTTGACAGGAATCCTGGGTTACACACGGTACGAGTTGAAATGTTTACAACTGGACACACAGACTTCAAAAGAGTTTACTACAAAGCAGTTCAAGCAGAAAAAACAATTTTCCTTGAACATGCATATTTTCTACTTGTTCTTATTTTTAAATCTGAATACAAATATTTCTGGTAATGCCTATCAGAAGACGTATATAAAATTCAGTAAGAAAGCAGCTGGGCTGGGGCATAGCTCCACTGAAAGGGTGCTCTGCTAGGTTGGACAGATTTCCCAGGTTCGATCCCAAGCACCATGAAAGCCAACTCAGACACAGTAGTGCACCTCTGTGATGCCCGCACTCCGGAGGTCAGAAGCCAAAAGTCATCTTCAGCTACAAAGCAAGTTTGAGGCCTGCCTGAGCTACATCAGACACTGCTCCACACACACACACACACACACACACACACACACACACACACACACACACACACTCCAATCCAGCCTCCCAAAATTACAGATCTGAAGGCTTCAGAATACAGCTTGGTTTTTCAAAGGTCTCATAGCATGTTTACAACAATCAGATTTTATGATCTGTTTTGGAAGCTCTTGTCTCACCACATCCTAACACAGCGGAGGGCAACCAGAGGCGGCAACCTTCCTCTTCCAGGACATGAGGAACATGAAGGACACTACCACTAAGACACTCAGACTCCTGCCTTCCCCTCCTTTCCAGTGGACCCCAACATTACACTCGTTTTGATCTGGGAGCTTTCAAATACCACGCTATTCTGAACCAGACTCCCTGAAGTCCCATCACAGGTGGGGTTTTTAATTCATTCATTTGTAATTTTTGGCTTCATTGTGTGAGACCCAAGGTCTTACCTAGGTAGGCCTGGCTGGCCAGGAACTTGCTGAATAAGCCAGGCTTTCTCTGAACTTGATCTGAACAGCCCCCACCCCCCACCCCCGGCCGCCCGAGTGCTGAGATCACAGGTCCAGCAGTGTGAGGGTTTTAAAATGGGGTCACCCTATGTAGCCCCCACACACAACTTTGCATTTGAGGTCCTCCCACCTTGCCCTCCCAAATATTAGGTGACAAGGATAGACCACCATGCCCAACACCATAGATATTTATTCAAAGCTCCCCGCTAAGTGATGCTGAGGAGGCGTGGCCTTCAGGAGAACTACTGGTCTACCTATCAGCACAGCTATACCTGCCTGGGTTTCCCAGGAGTGGCACTGACTCCAACTTATCACCCTTTCTCCCAGGATGGCAACATACAAGAGGCAGAGAATAGGCTTATGTCCAGAAAAGCACATTGCCAAATGTCATACCCAGATGGTGGCCCTGGTTCTGGGCTTCACCTTCTACTAACTACTGAAAAGCACACGAAAATAACAAGCTCTAAAACTCACGTACTTGAAATTTTATTCTGGGATTTGCACCACAAACTCAGACAATGCAATTCTGTAATCCTGAAAACGAATAGTCTTCAGAGCTGCAGAATCTATATTAAGCTTGCATATACCGCACAAAATAAGATCTGACAAAATGCACCATAAGTTAAATGGCATCTGGTGAGATTACAGTTTTGCCTTGCTGGGATGTCAAAAATCACACCTAACACTGCGGTGTTAAAATAACAAGATTTCAAAAATAAAATATCTTGCCATTTTGGAAAAAATCAGAATTCATTTTAAAAACACTTCTCATAGGATTGACTTCCAAAAAGTGGATATTAGCCGGGTTATTTCAATGGCAAATTTACTTGTCAAGATACTGCAATTCAGTGTGCAAGTACTGCAGAGATGCCTTTGCACACTTAACAGTTCAAGCTCTTGCCTAAAGGTGGCTGCAAGGATACCTGGATCACGGGGAGGCGGGGTCACAGAGACAAGAGTGATGACATGTTTTTAAGGATGCCTGTGACAGCTTCACCTCTGAACTTCCCCATGGTGATAAGCATCACACAGTAACAGGCCACAGTCTGTGTGAGCATGGTTAAAGTTACTTAGAAGGAGTGACATTCCGGAGTCTTCTGCATCTTTCTTGATGAACATGTAGTAGCAGTACCTATCTGTCAGGTCACTGTACTCTTTACCATGTGAGTACAAGAGGAGAGGGAACTTCCATGTGTTGGGTGCCTGCACCACCCCACCCCACCCCACACTTGTGAGGTCCTCCCAAAGAACGTGCCAGCATCGAAGCTTTAGCATGACCCACTGATACTTTGCAGATGGCCTCAGGCTCTCCACAGCACGGGCCACTCATAACAGCCTCAGCACAGCATGGGCAGAGAGAACCTATTCTTCCTGCTGCCTCGGCCTACCAAAGGGTCCAGACTCTCCTGCCTGGGTGTTAGAAGGATGTAGTCATCACCACTCGGAACGGTGAATACAACAAGCCTCCTTGCATAGACGGCACTTTAGGGTCCATCTGGGGACAACTGGGAAGTCTGTCAGGCCATGAAGATCTCAGCCCTATGATGGCTGCTTGAAAAGCTGAAGACATGGTTACAAGTTGGAGGTAGGCATGTGTGAAGACTCAGGTGACCAACGGTGGGTAGTAGATTGCGTGCAGAGCAGAAAGCCAGGGCCTGCTGACATAAGAGGTTTGCAGTATGGAGCAATCAGGCTCATGGTGGGCCTCACTGTTTGCAAGGAGGACAGAAAAGATTCTTTTCATGAATGTCTTAAAAGAGTACAAAGTTTCCCTTAAAAACTGTCTGGAAAAGCCAAGTATGGATACTCTCCCCCCCACACCCAAAAAGTTCTTTCAAGTTTCTGCTTGGCATGGTAGCACACACCTAAAAATCTAACACTGGAAAGTTTGGGGCAAGAGGATTGCAACACCAAGGCTAGCCTGGGCTACACAGTAAGATCTTATCTCTAAAGAAATCAATTTAAAATTGTCAGGTATTTAGGGCCACCAAGTTTGATTCCCACTGGAAAACAATTTCATCATCTCCACAGGCAAGGCCTGACTCACTGTGGCACTCTGAAATCAGACAGATGCCTAGGCAAAGTTCTTCTGGGTTGTGTTTCAATGTGTGGATAAGACACCTTCTGCCTCCCCATAAAAGAGGCAATGCGTCTATTCTCAGGGAGCCCAGAAAAACATTTGGGGGGACGGCACCAACACTGCCTACAATGAGCAAGCACTTAACCTCAGTTACTCCTCGGAGGAAAGTAGGGCGGAGTCTTGCTCAAACCAAGTTCTGAGCGACCCTACACAGCCCTCCTAACCCGGACAACAAGGCACTTTCCATCAGAAAATACCGCAACAGCCTCCCTGTGACTTGGTTTGCAAAATCCCCAGATCGCACAACAGCTCTGGTCATTACAATGTTCCTATTTGGAGACATCCCTCGCCTGGGTTTTGCAGTTTCCTTGTGGGCTTCAGAACCTTAAAAGTAACTGCTAAGGGTTAAAGTGTCTCATATTATGGGATTTCATAGCTACTGCACTTATCAGAAGCCCCGTGATGCATCATAATGGAGCCTCATCTCGAGGCTGTGTGCAACAGCGCCCCCATCCATGGCTCTAGGTATGGCAAGCTATTTTTGTCTGAAAGGTTTGAGCTCAGGAAAGAGTTTTCAGCCTACGAAACAAGATTCAAAAGTGCTGGATAACAAAATAATGTTTCATATGGAAACACTAGAAGTGAAATGTATGTTACTTTTGAGTTCTCAGCCTACAGGAAAAGCTTGGGAGAGTTGGGTATCAGTAGCAGACGTAACCAAAACACTGACCCACCCAATGCTATTGTGATGTTGGGGTCACGGGACATATTGTAAACAGCCTAGCAGAAATGAAGATATTATAAAGAGAAGGCACACAGGACTCCCAATCTAACTATCAGACTATTGAAATAATGAACCCCAAAGAAACAAGAGTTTCCCCCAGG